TCCTCCCTGGGGGACGGACAACAGAAAAGTGGGTGGGTGAAGGGAGACATCAGACAGTGTAAGGTATGACAAAATAATAATCATTTATAAATTATCAAGGGTTCATGAGGGGAGTAGGGAGGGAGGGGAAAAAACGAGGAGCTGATACCAAGGCCTCAAGTAGAAAGTAAATGTTTTGAGAATAATGATGGCAACAAATGTACAAATGTGCTTGACTCACAATGGATGAATATATGGATTGTGATGAGAGTTGTATGAGCCCCAAATAAAATGATTTTAAAAAACAACCTTCAGAATCATCTAATCTAACCCACGTCTAAAGATCAATTAAACAAACAGGTTTCCCAAAATCAAAGAGTCCATTAATGGCAAGCCCTTACTTAATGCAAGCCCCCAATATCACATGTACTAATCTCAAAGTTGGTTCTGCATCAGAAATCTAGAAAGTCACACAAGATGGTTGCCAAATAACAAGCACAGGAAGATCTCCTCAGCAGCGTCCAGAGACCCACTAGGAAGGATATCCCGGTGCATTACTGGCAGTAAGAATCTCAACATAAAGAGGGCAGACCAAGTTTCCTAAAGCGGGGAGCAGTAATGCCTGCTGACAGACTGCCCTTTACCAGCAGCACAAGTTGCTTCGTGAGCCCACTCCTCCTCGGCACAGGCAATTTTTCTTGGTCTCTGAGTTAACCCAACCAGCCAAACCCTTGCTGGCTTCAGGGAGATAGCTCGAGGTGGCAGTTTGGTACCCAAACAACTTTTGCTTTTCTTTCTTTTTTTGTCCTTGCCGTCCTTCTTTTTTCCTGCTTTGGGCTCTGGTGCCCTCCCTCACCACTTGTCCCACACCTTCCCCATACAGTGCACATGTTAACAAAATAAAGAGGTTTCCCACCCACAAGGTGGTTTTTTTTCTTTGACTCTGTTATTTTTTCCGTTTCCGTATTTTGTTTTATTACAACACTCCCGTAGTTTTATATTATCTCCCATTTCCTCTTCCAGTGCCTTCTCCTGGTGTGACCCCATCCTCCTGAGAACACCCATTCCCCTGGTAAGAAGAGGCAGCCCTTTAGATAAAATAAGATTTTAAGGCGAATAACATAAAGAGAGACAAGAAAGGACACTACAAAATGCTTAAAGGAACAATAAAGGAAAAACATATAACCTTAATAAACAGACATCCACCCAATGAAAGACCCTCAAAACCTATCAATCAAATGTTCAGAGATGAAAATAGAAATAAATAGCTCCACAAAAATTGTAGACTCCAACATACCACTCTCAGGGAAAGATAGATAATCAGAAAAGAAAATAAGGAAAACAGAACTGAAAAACAACACAGTCAAATAGCTCAACTCCTAGACATGATCAGAGCATGCTACCCACTAACAGTACAATACATATCCTTCTCCAGTGTACACGGTACATATTCTAGAATAGATCATATGTTAGGCTACAAGGCAAGCCTCAACAAATTCAAGACCAGTGAGATCCTCCAATCCATTTTCTCAGATCATGAGTACTGGACTTGCACTTAATTCTAGTCCCAATCTACGAACAATTAGTTATGTCGTGGCCCTGCTTGATGCTAGCACTCGTAAAGAGATCACTAAAGTTATGGGTGCTCCAGTAAAGTTTGGTGAAAAAAGAGAAAGGTTGGTGCCCGGTTGTCAGAAAGAATGTCATCTGGAGTCTTAAAGGTTTCTTTTCAAACTAGCAGGCATGTAAGTGAGCCATCAACCATGTCCACATGGAAGAAGCACACCAGCCTGTGTATCCAAGGATTGTAAACCATATAATCCCAATCTAAAGAAGGGAATGGTATCAGAGCTTGTGAATACCTGGCTTTGAGAAGGCTATGGATAACAGTGGAAGCCCAAAAATCTATTTGCAGAGTCCACACCCAGATTAAGCCTCTGGTGAGTTCCCTCCGAACCTAGTTGAAGGATGTGAACAGCCTTGTTATCAGACAGAGAGCACTGTAAAAATGATTGTGGCAGACATCATTAGGTCAAAATGTAATCGCTTATCATTTGATCTCCCTTTGGACCCAGTTTAAAGCTGTTTCAGTTCATAAAAACAAATACAAGTGAACTGGTATATATGTGGATTAAGCCCCTGGTGATAGGCCCCTGACCATAGACCACAGATGTGAATAACCTTGTTCTCATGCACAACGCATTGGAAAGTGTATTCTTGCAGATGTAATTAGGTCAAAATTCAGCACCCTATTATTTCATCTCCCTTATGATCCATTTAAATATGCTCTTTCTGCTTTCTTTTCAATTGACATTTTTAAATCTGTTTTACTTTGTTAATCTTGTTAGCTCCGTTTATTTGTTTTTTAAATATTTTTCTGTATATGAAATCCAGGATTGGTGAATCTATATAGACAGTAACTGGATCAATGGTTCCTTGGGGATATGCCAAAGGAAGTTAGTGGGAAATGAGTAGCTAATAATGATAAATACAAGAATGAAGAAAATGTTCTAAGACTGATGAAAAATAAATAAAGACTGATGGTGATTTTACAACTTTAAAAAAAATCATTTT